ACAGCAGGGCATCTGAAATCGAAACGTGTCGCCGCCCCGAGCAAAAAACAAGCACCGGCGACAAAGAAAAGAAACACTCGTCCAAGGCACAACATCATCGACCTTGCCAGTGCATCTTTGGACCCCACCTGGCCATGGGTCAAAAAGCAACAAATAGCAAAACATGAAAACACAATGAAAAAAATAGAAAAATCGTAAAACAACACAACCACGCATACACGCGCGCACACCGTGTGCGCCCTGACAAAGAAACTGAACAGTTCGGAAAAATTGAACTATGAAATGGAATTAGAATCCATTTTTCCTTGTCAAGTCATGTGAATCCTCCTTCGCTCATCCACCTTCCAACCCCACCTCCGTGATGTAGGTGGGCACGGCTGCGATCTCACCACCTGCCGAGTCGACTGAGACTCTTCTTCCCCAAACACTCCATGTATAGCATTACCTCTACATTTGGGGTGGTTGAAAAGGATCCATGCAGGCATTTTGTTTAAAAATTTAAAAACTTGAAAAAAAATACATGGAGTGTTTGATGGAGTGTCTGGGTTCTGAGATGTTCTGTGGTTTCAAATCAGTTGGAACCCTCCAATGGCACCGTCCTCGAATCAGATTGATTTGCTTGTCATGAACGTGATGCACCCCTGTGCGGACTCCTTCCAACCATCTCACCGACCAGAGCTTCTCGAGAAGCACAAGAAGCGTACATGCAATATACAGTAAAAAGAAAGAAAGAAAAGAAAGAAAGAGTCGCGAGGCGGCAGAACATCCGCCCGGACCCCAGGATCCCCAGTTCACCTGTGGATCCCAAGTCGTCGAACTTGGGGGGAGCCTGCCACCACTCAGTTTCGTAGATGGCTCTTGCGAGACGTGCCACAACCTGTGAGACCTTTGATATCCTGTAAAATGCATCTTCATCTTCTTCCCACCTGTGATTTTCTTCCCAGCGCTCTTCTTCTGGGTCCGTGGGCGTCCGTGGGGTACCAGGCACCAACAAAGAAAAATTCTAAAAAATGCTACACTCCCTAAAACTAACATAGACCCTGACAATGGCCATGGAAGACTATTTTCCTCTACCAACCAGTGGTTTTCAGGTCCATGATAGTTCTTGAGGGTGCAAAGAATTGATAAAGGGATGATCAAACAAGCAAGCCCCCCTGTCCACCCGAGAATAAAAGCCAGAAATAGAAAAACAACCTCTCCAGAGCATGGAGACCCAATCTCCCTGTCCGCACCTGTGCATATGCCCTGCAGCAATCGCAGCAAGACCAACAAAGTCAAGCCTAAGAACGAGTATACTCTGTCTGCAAACACAGGACCCACGGCTGACCTGCACAACAACAATAAACAAGATCTGATCGTGACACAAGTGCACCGCAAAGTTCACTCCATTCCGCAACCAAGGGGTTGATGATGGTTCCTGGTTCATGTATAAATACCTTTACTATGACCCCCAACGGAACCTGTCTGCCTCGACACCTTCAGTTGTCCGTCTCAGCTGGGATTCTCCGTCTTCACCTCCGGAGTCGGCACCAAGACCCATGTGATCGACGTGACCTCGAGGCAACCCTCAAAAATGTGTAGCATGTAGACAACCCTTATTAGATCCTATTACCTATTTTTCTAGGCTCCAGGGGCCCAAGTCCAGGCCTGAGAAGCCAAGGCGCCCGACCGAAAACTCGTCAACTCCTTCAGCCAAGGAACCGATGGTGCCCAACACGTGGCCATCTTGGTATGTGGGCAACAGACCTGGCGATGCCCTGTGCAACTTCAATCTAACCAGTTTCCCAGTGACTTGGCGGTCACCGAAATGATATTACCCGCGATGTTTGCCACTGATTGAAGGCTTTCATAAGGTTGAACTGAGCACCTTGAAGAAGCAAACACGGGAAAACTGGTCTGTTTTGTCGTGCCCTACCCTTGGTCCTCCTTCACCCTTCGCACTGAACCCCCCTCTGCTTGATCAAAAAGTGCCATCTTCGCAGCCATCTTCGCGGCTCTTCGCGGCGCACGCCTTGACCCACGGTGCCAACCACCATGCCGAAGATCGACAAGAGCGCCGAAGCCTGGAGCAACGGTCAGACACGCCACGAACCCTTCGAGGAAGAAACGGTCAAAAGGAGTGTGAAGTCGTACGAAGTCAGATTGTCCAGACCAAAGAAAAATGTTGCAGGGAGCCCTCATCCAAAGAGATTATGATCCTAGGTAATAGCAGATCAAGCCCCACACCAATACAACCACTCCGGTCTTTTCACCCAGACCCTCTCAATTCAAAGGACACCACCCAGGAGTAACACCCAAAACATCCCAAAACTTATGCCCCGACAATTGCACCAAGCACCGTCAGTGGTGGTCCTCACCTCCCACTCGCTACCTACCGCCCAACTACACGCGCCTTTCGGCCGAAGATGTCGCCAACCACGCCCAAGACCAGGCCGCCAAAGGGTCGCGCCACAAAGGTGCAGGCGAAGCCCAGCCAGGTGCACACCGCCGAGCCGTGGAAGAAGTTTTCTTGGCGGAGGCGGTTGGAGGGCGGAACGGGTTGACATGTAGGGGGTATGTGGAATGGTGTTTTTCCTAGCAAGACCTGGACAATGGCAGTGATTCCAGCGTCTTCGTGCGACGTCCGTTTCGCTCGCTTCCCATGGCACCGTTTTGGAGCGCCTGACGCTCCCAGCGGGCGGGCAGAGCGTCCCGCAGAGGCCGACACAGGACACCGTCAAGCCAAGCGGCTCTGAAAGTGGCGCTCAAGAAAGCTATAGACGGCATACTCATACCTGGCAGACTGGCGCTTTTTTCGCCGCTTCGGCCCAGTCAATCACCCAACGACGTACCTACACTCCCTCGAAGAATCATGGAAGTGGAGAATTGGACCCTTGGATTATTGGATGACCATGTTCCTGTACAAACATTTACAAACAGGTGGTTTTCCCATGTTTTCCCCCCCTTCCATGCTACACCTTGCTACACCTGCCGTCGCCCAGTTGTCACGACGACACGGAAGAACCGCCAGCCGATCCAAGCCGATCCCAGCGCCACGAACGTCCCAGTGGCCATTCCAGGACGTTGCCCAACAAAAGCGCCCAATAGATCCACACCACATCTACGACGCCAGACCATCCACTTCCTGATGTTCACACAAAAACAACCGGAGCTTTTGGAACACGCCATTTTGGGGACGTGGGTCTTCCCGTTCACCTGGGTGAAAGTGTCGGGACGTTTTCTGTGGCAGGGTGCAACACAGTTGAGAGGTTGAGAGGTCCACCTTGCATGAGATGGGCTATGGGCAGAGCTGTTCAACCAGATGAGCTGCTTTTTGTTCTTTAGGTAAAGTGCCTGCCAAGCTTGGCAGGCATGTTGGCATGTCGTTGGAAGATCCTGGTATAAAACTTCATAGAAACACCGCTAGATCTGAGCTTCGAGGCGCTTTCGCTCCTTCTTTCGCCATGAGAAAATCTCG